GTGCTGGTGTATGGCGCGGAAGCATGGACAATGAAAGCATCTGATGAGGCGGCTCTTGGAGTTTTCGAGAGAAAGATTCTGCGAAAGATTTACGGACCTTTACGCGTTGGTGATGGCGAATATCGCAGACGATTTAACGATGAGCTGTATGAGCTTTACAACGATATAGACATAGTGCAGCGAATTAAAATTCAGCGGCTCCGCTGGCTTGGCCATGTCGTTCGGATGGACAGAAACGCTCCTGCTCTGAAAATATTCAACGCGGGCCGCGATGCTGGTAACAGAGGAAGAGGAAGGCCTCCTCTGCGTTGGAAAGACCAGGTGGAGAAGGACTTGGCTTCACTTGGCATTTACAATTGGCGTCAGTTAGCACAGAAGAGAAATGACTGGCGTGCTGTTTTGGACTCGGCCAAAATCGCTTAGGCGGTTACAGCGCCAAATAAGAAGAAGAAGAAGAAGAAGATGGCCTCGCCTGTCGCATACGACTTATGTATGTAGTCCATTGGTGAATATATCGGTGGATTGAATACATTTTCTAATGTAGAGGGGACGCTGTCTACTTTTTACCTTTGATTAATTAATTGTCGAATTATAATTGCAAGCGATCAAATTAAATAATAGAATATATGTAATGTAAGTGGTATGCGCATACATATGTATGTATGTACCCTACAAGAATTGTGTGATGGAAAGTAACACATTCTCATTTATCTTACTAACACATTTGCAAATTTTTCGTTGGTTAAAAAGAGGCCATTAAATAAGGTCATAAGATGGAGGAAGACGGAAGATCACATGTACACAAATGTTTACATCAGATTTTTCCCTGCCCTTTAGAATTTGATAGAAACTTGTAGGTAGCCAGTGACAGAAATCTCTATCAGTCTTGCCACTCAAATGATTTGTCTAATGATAGTCACTGTTCTTGCAGGGTAGTTAGTTGGTTTATAATTATTTTTTACATCGAAATCAAAACACACTCATCAGATTCGTCTGCGATCAAAAACCGTTCTAAGTTTTTTTTTTCAGAGTATTTCTAGTACTGCGGGCACATAGCTGTTTTTGGTCAGTTCTATACTAAAAGATATACATATAAGAACGGCAAATGCTGTAATGTGGGCAATAGATAGTGTTAATAAAATATGCAACAAAAAAAATTTACACAAATCACATAACTGTTTTTGTTGGCGCAGCGATGAAAAAAAAATATTTTTTTGTAGAAATGAAAACGCCGCACGTTGTTCTGTTTTGGGAAAAAATGGACAAAATCAAATATCTCCCGATCCAAACCAGACAGAGACACAAACTAAACGGCATTATAAAGCCCAAATACTGGTGAATACGGGAAAATTATTCATGTTCTTCAAAAACAGTTTCTGGACCTTGAATTCCAAGGTCAAAGATCAACTAAAAAAAATAAATTTTATATAAAAGCAAATATCTAAATTATTTTGGTGTCCAAAAATGAACATTTTTGCACCTACTTATGTGAAAAACAAAAAAAAATTTATAATATTCTTATAAAAAACGNATAAAAATATTAAAAATAAAAAATGTTAACAAGCCACAGTACCATTGTAATATTTACGTTTACAAGCAAAATGTTGAAATTTTATACACGAAGTGTCTAAAAGCACACATGATGTTTGATTTCACACTAAAATGTCTAAATTTGAAGCAGGAAGTGTCTAAAAGCACACATGGTGTTTGATTTTACACACTTATAATCGTTTTTCGCTTGAAACAGCAGTAAACGTTCATTTGTTGTAAAATCGTCGCGTCAGTCGGTTTGGTGTGAGCAAATTTTTAATTGTTGGTATACTTCGGTGCAAAATTGGCGTAATAAATATATATTTATAAACGCAGTTAGTGGTATTTTTATAAGTTCGTAGTTTTATAAATATTTTGGAAATGTTTGTATGTAAAGTGTGTGCAAAGCAGTTTTGTAAATTGAATTGTTATCATTTGCATTTATATGCGCATAGGGAATTAAATTGTAATATGTTTGAATGTTTGTTTCCGANTTGGAAATGTTTGTATGTAAAGTGTGTGCAAAGCAGTTTTGTAAATTGAAGAGTTATCATTTGCATTTATATGCGCATAGGGAATTAAATTGTAATATGTTTAAATGTTTGTTTCCGCAATGCAAGAAAAAATTTTCAAGCTATAATGCTTATGAAGTGCATTTTTCTAGAAATCATTCCGAAAAAGACGATGTGGTTAAATGTGTTACTTCTATGAACAGCAAATATAATTGTGTGCATTTTTTGCATCAAGCATAAGTGAGGTGTATTCACATATTTTAAAGCATTCTGCTTGCTGTGAAAAGGTTAATTGTCCAACACTTTCGTGTTTTAAACCGTTTACTAATGCAGGCTCATTTCGATCACATTTTTTTCGTAAGCATAAGCAAGGGAATAACTCCTCATTTTCGTTGTTGGTGTTTCCGACAGGGTAGGAGTGTGATGTAATGTGGAACGATTTTCCGTCATCCCTTGTCAAATTTGGTTTGGAGACAAGCCGGTTTCGGCGTTGTGTCATCTTCAGTGTCATTTTTCGTAACTCCTCTTTGGAGAAAGATTTGTATGAAAATATAGAAGAGCTATTTTTAAATACAAATAGTTTCGAAGAGGTTAAAAATAGTATTTGCACTAAATCTACCAGCATCAATAGCTTCACAACCGTGTTGACAAAGTTAAAATGCAAATATAACGTTTCAGATATTTGCCTCGATTTTTTGTTTAAAGAGCTCTTGAATATAATTACTATTGATAAAAATTCACAAATATTGAAAGTTAATCATATTTTTGATGGCGCTGAACAAAGTAGTATAAAAAATGAGATCATTAGCTGCATTCTGGACATTATATACCCCTACTAGAGACTTTGAAAAGTTTGCTTAGTGATGAAAAATATTTTGAAGTGTTTTGTAAAATGAAAAGTATTAAAAATAAAATTTATTCGGATTACAATGACGGTATCGTGTATAAAAACCAAAGTTTTTTTAATTCCGGTGAGCTCTTAATTTCTCAAGATGCATTTGAANTATCGTGTATAAAAACCAAAGTTTTTTTAATTCCGGTGAGCTCTTAATTTTTCAAGATGCATTTGAATTGTGCTACCCCTTGGGATCATCCAAAAAGAAGCACAAACTGATTGGATTTTATTTTATGATAGGAAATATTGTGGTACAAAACATTCAACTAATTTTATCATGCAACCAAAGCTATATAAAAAATTTCGGCTTCGAAATTATTTTAAAACCATTACTTAGTGACCTGAAAATATTGGAGACAGAAGGTCTAACTTTTCTAAATAAAAAAACTGGCATGCAAGAACACCTATTTGGAACTGTGTTTGCAGTAAGTGGCGACAATTTAGGTTCCCACCAAATTGGTGGTTTCAACCAAAATTTCAGTTTTTCACAATATATTTGCAGATATTGTTTCTTTGAGCGTAAGAATTTAGCTTTAAAAAATATCGGAGTTTGCGAACTAAGAAATAAAAATAATTATAACGAGCAGCTTTTGGAAGACACTTTAAGCCGAGGGGTGGTTCGCGATTCTGTCTTAAATGATCTCCGATATTTTCATGTTTGTAATCCGGGATTTCCGCCGTGCATAGCTCATGATTTATTTGAAGGTATTATACCTTATGATTTAATGGAAATTCTGAGAAGCTTAAGTGTTACTTTTTGGTTTACCTTGGATTACGTAAACGTTTTTTTTAGCNGATTCTGTCTTAAATGATCTCCGATATTTTCATGTTTGTAATCCGGGATTTCCGCCGTGCATAGCTCATGATTTATTTGAAGGTATTATACCTTATGATTTAATGGAAATTCTGAGAGGCTTAAGTGTTACTTTTTGGTTTACCTTGGATTACGTAAACGTTTTTTTTAGAAGTTCAAGAAAAAAATTTGCATTACATATGTCATTTCCAAAATTAAAGTTTAGTATGAAAAAACTAGTAGGTAAGGCATATGAAGTGCGGCATATTCTATTTTTGCTGCCCTTTGTTTTAATGAATGTTGTTTCTGATTATGAAAATCGAATGTGCTCTTTATTTACAACAATGATTAGTATGTGCCGATTAATATATTCTGATACAATATCCGAGTGTAAGTTAGAATTACTCAATTACCACATATATGTTTATTTCGAATTACGAGAGGAATGCCTTCCTAATGTAAAGCTTAGACCTAAGCATCACTATATTAAACATTAAATGATGAGGCAATTCGGACCTCTAAAAAAATTTTTTTCGCTGCATTTTGAACACAAACATCAATATTTCAAGAATATTGCAAATAAATGTAAAATTTTTTAAAACATTATTTTAACTTTAGCAAATAAACATCAATATTTACAAGCAAGAATGGTTGGGGATAGGTTAAGCACATATTATAAGCAATAATGTCTATGAATTGAATCACGATATGTTCAATATAAATATTCCAAAAAAGTTTATATTTGTATCCAATACGATTTTGTTTTGTGGAGCTAAATATAGAAAGAAAGACGTTGTACTATTTTCAGTTGACGAGCAAGGTTTCTGTTCTTACAATTAACTCAATTTTCATAAGCGAAGATTATACGGAATTTTCACTATTTGGAAATTTAATGAAAATGTGGTACAATAGCACCATTAGTTTATACGAATCTATATATGCAAATGATAACAGTTTTGGATTGATAAGTAATAATACCTTGATAATACAACAACCAATAAAATTGTTTATCTTCAAAAATAAGCAATACTTTCCACCATTTTCTTCTTTTGTAGAAAATACTTAAAGCAAGTGCCTCGTATTAAAAATAGAAATTTAGTTCTGTAAAATATTAAGTTTTAGTTTTAGCCTTAGTACTAAAAAAAAAAATAGAAAATATCTATGTAAAATATGGAANTTTCTTCTTTTGTAGAAAATACTTAAAGCAAGTGCCTCGTATTAAAAATAGAAATTTAGTTCTGTAAAATATTAAGTTTTAGTTTTAGCCTTAGTACTAAAAAAAAAATTAGAAAATATCTATGTAAAATATGGAACGCAGATAGATTAACAAAAAAGGCATTTGTGTGCCACCCTTCGATCGATCTCGTAGTACAAAAANTAGATTAACAAAAAAGGCATTTGTGTGCCACCCTTCGATCGATCTCGTAGCACAAAAAGGTATGATGCAGCAAAAACAGTTACTAAATAAATCATTAAGTATCTAATCTAATTTGGGTTACATTTCTGAATTTTAGCTAAAGAGTATTCCCTAAATGGAAGCCGACTCGTATGTACGACGGAACTGATATAGATGACGATGAGACCTTGGAAGCGTTTTTAGAGGAGAAGGCTACGTTATTGCTCTTAAATACTGAAGAAAAATGGACACCCGACAGGAAATTTATTGATCCAGCTGCCGAAATCCACCCAATAAATTTCCCAAGTANATGCTGAAGAAAAATGGACATCCGATAGGAAATTTATTGATCCAGCTGCTGAAATCCACCCAATAGATTTCCCAAGTACACAGCCGTCTCAAACGTCTACTATTTTTATGTTATCGGATGATGAAATAAAAAAAATTTCTCAAACACAATCCATCAACAATCCTACAAAGGAAATCCTGCAAAATCAGAGTTCCACCTCAGAGGGCATATGCGCAACGCCACAGGGACAACAAAACCTGGAAAACATCGAAAATGAAAGCGTTTTATTAATATTTTCCGAAGATGATTGTATGAACAATAGCCCGAATATTTCCAACATGGATTCAGAAAACGCCAGGCGGTCATATGATTATTCTTTCAAAGCAAATCCTCAAGCGGTTTGTGATATGTTTCAAAACTTTGAAATTCCATGGGCTAAATTACCGAATGAGGTACTTAACGCGATAAAAAATTAACAAAAAATAGGTAAACTTTTGAGGCCTTTTCGAACGTAATAGTAGACTNGGTACTTAACGCGATAAAAAATAAACAAAAAATAGGTAAACTTTTGAGGTTTTTTTCGAACGTAATAGTAGACCAATTACGTGAAATTTCACATTACATACCGATGACCGTTTATAGAGCCGTTGCTCAGGCTGCAGCAAATCAGTACCCTGATTCTTTTATCGAAAAAGATGCGCAAGGAAATGCCATCTCGTTATTTTTTAATGACCCTCAGAAAAACAAATCCNATAGAAATAATTTTTTGAATAGTACGCTAAAACGATCTGCATTAAATTCACGCATACCAAATAAAAAAAAATCATTGAACGCGCTGGGCAGAAGTTGCGTTAACTAGGAACCACAAAGCACGAACGCAAGCATCGATGATATAAATAGCAAACAAAAGTATTTGTTATCTATGTTTCAGAAAAAAAATCTTCAAAAAATCGAAATAGAAAATGTACGAAAGTATATGGCGGAATGCTTCTCTGTGCAAAGATTATTTTTTAATGACCCTCAGAAAAACAAATCTCTTAAGGATATACTAAACCACTGGCCAATGATATTTCACAAAAGCTGCCTGTACGATCATTTTAACACATTAATGCAGCTTGATGTTGAAAATTTCAAGTCAAACTTTGAATTATCTAAAGCCAAAATAAGATCGTTTTTTAAAATTCAAAGTGAAAAGAACGAACTTATTTTCATTGCTATTTCGAAATACTTCAAGGAGAAGGACGAGCTCCTTTTTAAATTTTATAAGGTATATAAATATACTTACATATGTACATATTCTTGTAAAAGACTTTGATAACCTTTTAATTATTTTATCCATTGTTTCAGTTTGTGACGATAATTGAAGAAGTTAAAAATTACATAAAAGAGCCAACTCCCTGGATTTCTATTATTGGTAAATATTACATAAGGGAGAGAGCAGTATATACCTACTCTTCCATGATTAGTTTTATCCTCAATGCTTTGCATATATTCTTTAATACCAATTTTTTTATTTATTCTTTTCCAGATACATCCCCCGAAGAGGCTCTTCAAAATATATCGTATATTTTTTTTGAAAGAGAGATTACTTTTAAAGAAAAAAATGGAAATTTAATTGATTANACTTTTAAAGATAAGAATGGAAATTTAATTGATTTATTATTGCAGCTGCTTTGCTATTATTACATATTGAATATCGAATATCATAAAAATATATCGCAAACATGTGAATTTTTAATGCGATTTTTTTTTAAGTTCTATCCATCTCAAATACGAGGCAAAAAAAGCATATTAATAATTTAAGAAAAATAAATACGTTGATGCGAAAAATTGATGAACACACATATGTAAATTAAATTTACATCTCCAAAAGACGCTCTTCAAAATATATCGTATATTTTTTTGAAACAGAGATTACTTTTAAAGAAAAGAATAATTGTTTTTAAGTTCTATCCATCTCAAATACGAGGCAAAAAAAAGCATATTAAAAATTTAAGAAAAATAAATACGTTAATGCGAAAAATTGATGGACACACATGTGTAAATTAAATTTAAGCTTTTTATATACATACATACAGCAGCGGTCAAAATAATAGCATTAAAATTCGAAATGATGTTGTTTGAAACTCCTGTTTATTTATTTATTTTCAAATAATTTTTCTTTAAAATATAGTTCGATCAATAACAGAAACCACAGAAATAAAAATTTTACAAAGTTCACAAAAATGAATGAAACTTCAAAAAATTTTCCTCAAAATTTCAAACTTCTTATTTAGAATATCAAATAATATCATTTTTAATTTTACTGCTATTATTTTGACCGCTGCTGTAAGTATTATAAATGAAATAAATAAATATTTTAATTGAAGAGAGAATTAAACAAGATTTTGCCTATTATTTACGGAAAACTAAGCATCTAGTTCGTAAAATATAAGCACTTAGCGTGTAAATATAAACATCTTGTGTATAAACTATTAGGCATCTAGTGTCTTAACCTTTGAACATTTATTGCGTAAAATGCTACAAAAGATGTTTAAAATAATAGTTGTGTAATTTTAGACATTTATAGTCGGTAATGTGTTGCCTACCATTATCGACGTAAATATGCCAAAAATGGTTTAGAGTGTATATATTTTTAGATACACAATATCACATGTATATATACATACATACATATATATATAATGAAAATTCGTCCTTGTATGTATAGATATGTAAACCCTGTGGGGAAAATCTCTAGTACTGAACGGGTGCGCTTCTAGCACATTTAGACCCAGTACTGGTTCGCGATAAATCTCTTTTGCAGGGCCCTGCAAAAAATGGGACTAATCCGGGATGACTCCGGGAGCAATCGCAACCCTGCAAAAAATGCGACTAATCCGGGATGACTCCGGGAGCAATCGCAAAGGAGCATGCGACTAATACCACTTTTGATCTCTTTATATGGAATGAACTGATCCCTTTTGTTCGAGCATGTCGGGCATGAAGAGACTAATTGTTCACCTTTATATCCGAAAGGGTATAAAAAGCGACTAGTCACTTTTAAAAGATAAAAATAAAGATTTGCGCCAGCTGAGATTCGAACCGGGTTGCTCAGTTTGGTTAGGCAAATATTCTCTCTGCGTGCCAACGCCGCACATGAAATTTCATTGACTAAGAGCGTACATATCATTAAATCTTTAATAGTACCCGTTAGAGATAAGTTGGGGACTAATTGATCTCCAATTATACCCATAAGGGATGAGTCGAGACTAATTGACCTTCATTAGTACCCGTATGAGACTAGTTGCGATTAATTAATGCCCAATCGTACCCGAATGAGAGTAATCACGGAATACTCTCTAGAGATTAGTCGCACAATTTTTTGCAGGGCCCTGCAAAAAATGGGACTAATCCGGGATGACTCCGGGAGCAATCGCAACCCTGCAAAAAATGCGACTAATCCGGGATGACTCCGGGAGCAATCGCAAAGGAGCATGCGACTAATACCACTTTTGATCTCTTTATATGGAATGAACTGATCGCTTTTGTTCGAGCATGTCCTATGAAGAGACTAATTGTTCACCTTTATATCCGAAAGGGTATAAAAAGCGACTAGTCACTTTTAAAAGATAAAAATAAAGATTTGCGCCAGCTGAGATTCGAACCGGGTTGCTCAGTTTGGTTAGGCAAATATTCTCTCTGCGTGCCAACGCCGCACATGAAATTTCATTGACTAAGTGCGTACATAT